TTCATTTTCCCCGCTGCAAAATTTTTCCCAACTCAATTTCAGCTTCAAAATTTTTCAGTCCCCCGCTCTTCAATTCATCTTCCCCAAGCTTCTCTCACGACCGATTTTGTTTCTTCAAAAAATCATCTCTTCTGAGCAAATCGAACACCTCACGGCGACAAATCGAACACCTCACGAGAAATCGAACACCTCACGAGCAGAAATTGATCTCCTGTTCTGAGTAAATCTTCGACCGGGCCTTCACTCTTCCCGAACGAACACGACCTCGCCGGACTCTTCACGACCTCGCCAGACTCTTCACGATCTCGNTAGGGTTTTTTTTCAGAGCAAATTGAACACCTCACGACGACAAATCGAACATCTCTTCTCTGTGTTTTTGTGTTTGCTAGCTGTTTCTGTGTTTGTTCCTTTTTATTTTAAGAGTCCCTTTTTATTTGCTAGTTGTTTCTGTGTTTGTTCTTTCATCTTTTCACCTTACTTCGTCATCTTCACTTTTAATTCATGCCCCATTTGAAAAAGCTTTCAGCAGAGAAAAAAAACCGCAAATTCACTTTCACTTTCCCACGAGCTCGCCGGCTCGACCTCCGCACGACCTCCAACCTCGTCCCATGGCCACCTCGCCATTTCCGCACGACCTTGCCGTTCTCCGCAGCTTCTCGCTGGAAAAGAATCGACAGTGCCTCTGTTGCCTCTGAAATCAGGTAATTAGGGTTCTTGACCCTTAAATTTGTTGTTCGAATTAGGGTTTTTTTGGTTCAAATTAGTGTTCTTAACCCTTAAACTTTTGGTTCAAATTAGGTCTTTTTTTATTTATTTCTTTTGAATTTTTTTCGAATCTGAGTTCTTGGTCTGTTTCTTACATAATATCAACAGATTCAACATCAACTTTTGGTTGAAATTTTTGTTTCTTGGTTTGTTTCGAATCTGAGTTTTTTTTTTGAAATGTTTTCGAATTTGAAATATTTAGCTTGTTCTGGTGCAGCTGTTTTAACCCTCCGGGTCGAAGAACAAGCCGAAGCCCGCTGTCGTGATCGCCAAGGAGGCCCGCGGATGCGAGAGTGAGAGTGAGGGTTAGGCTTTAATCGGCCTTTAATCGGGCCCGCGGATGCGAGAGTGAGGGTTAGGCTTTACTTTATTTTCTGTTTATTTTTTTCTTTTTTTTTTTAGTTTCTTTTATGCTGTGATGAAATGAACCGTGGAAACAAAATGACATAGTCATTGTTGAGCAGACCTATTTCACTTTTGTTCTTTTGAATTTATGTAATCTCTATGTGCTGACATTATGTTGCATTTCTTTGTTTGGGATCATTGCTTTGGATACTAAGTAGACTATGATTGCTAAGTTAAAGTGATATAAGTACATGCAAACACTTTAACATTAAAGGGATTGTCAGTTTTTGAAGGGGAGCAAAATCACAAGTAGAATTGCTTCTTCTTCTTCTTTCTTTCTTTTTTTTTTTTCAGTTATTTTTTATCCTGTTCTGGTGTAGCTGTTTTTTTTGAGAATTTAGGTGGGTTCACATGCAATGATGTGTTTTTCCTACAAAACTGCAGTTAATTTTCTTGCACATCTATTTGCATTAATGTAATTCTGGCTTCCTTTGCCAAAATACAATGTTCTGTTTCACAGCATGTTACATAGGCATGAGAGTGTTGGAGAGAGTTTGGATGGAGAGTTTCCTAAAGGAGCAAAGGAAAGGGGAGTGCGTTTTGGACTTGAGCCCAAGATGGACGATTGGGGGAGGAGTTGAGATCGTTTGCGGTGAGGACCGTGCCTCCGAAGATCACCTCGTCACTCCCTGGACTGTTTCCGTTTCTAGGTTATTTAACTTTCTGCTTTCCAAATTAAATTTGATCTCACACGAATTTCTTGAACTCATGGAGCTTATTATCATCCTTTCAAGTTAATATATTGTGGAACACAAGTCAACTTTTGTGTTGTTTGTTTGTAATTTGAACACATACAATGATCATTTAATCTTGTCTTTAGTTTCTTTTTTTTTTTTGCCATTTGATCTTGTTATTAGTTTCCTCTTGGTCTTGGGGGGTGATTGATGTTGATACATATGAGTAACTATCGCCATATCTCGATTCTCCCTCAATCCTTTGATAAATAAATAGATTTGGAATATGAACTGTAGAAGAAAATTGTAATATGGTTATTGATTGCTGAAATTTTTGAGTACTTTTGGTTATTTAAGTGCAACTATATATTTGTATTAGTGTTAGAGGCTCACAATTGAGAAAGGTCAACCACCCCTACCTACACACCAAGCTCATCTTCGTGCCCGACAAGGAGTGCCAGCGCCCTGATTTGCTCGCCTCCTCCTTCGACTTCCTCCGGCAGGGGCCGAGATCGAGTAGCTGCAATAGTCATATTCGCAGCCCGATTGGGTGGCGATTGCTTTCTCGAACAAGCTGCAGATTCAGAGGTATGAGTTTGATGATTGTGTTCCGATGAAATTTGTGGTCCGTTTACTGACCTATAATCAGCGTGACCTTATTTTTCGCACGAGATTTGATTTGACAAGATGCTTGGCATTTTGTTGAGTGGGTTTGTTAAGCGTTTGTACTTTGTGCGGATGGATTAGTTTATAAAAAGTTCCAATTTGTTCACATAGCTGTGTTTGTTTGTCAGAAATATATAACAAGAAGAAGTTCACTGCTCATAGTATGGTAAGCTTTATTACTTTGTGCGGATGGATTAGTTTATGAAAGAAGGGAATTGCTTAGTTATGCTATTTACAGTTTTGCAGTCATATAATCTCTATACTGGTTTCATTTGCTAGTTGCCCAATTTATGTTTGCTAGTTCCAACTTTGGAGTACTTATCTCGATTTCAAGGTTAGCGTTTCATATTCCGTGGTGCTTCTTATAATAATCCATTTTATTTGAGTTGGGTATCATTTTAGTGGATTATATTCCCAATTTTTTGGGAAACTTATATGAGTGTATGAATGTCCTTTGCTGCAGGAAATGGGATTGTTGGAGGTGAAGCATAGCCTGCTCCAAATTGCACTCCAAATTGCAGAGACATTGGACTTCCTTCATAATAATGCCCGCCTCATCCATAGAGCATTATCGCCTGACATTGGACTTCCTTCCTAACATTAACATTTGTTTTTCTGGCAGTAATGTTCTTGAATGTTTAAATTCTGTCCATTCAATTCTTTTGATTACAACTATTCGTCATGTAAGAAGGAAGAATGACGGGCCAAGCTTTTCTTACATTCCCAACAGTTGAACTTGCACGCAATGGCTTGGTATGTTTGCAAACACAAAAACAATTGATTTTTTTTGTTTCTTTTCGTTTGAATGACTTTGGCATGCTAAAACGAAGCTGAAGCCCTCTTTCTGGGATAAGCTGAAGCCCTCATTGTATTCCCGTGTCGAAGTAGACCGAAAATATTTGTTGGGGCTTTTGTTGTGAAAAGAAATCACCAAATTAGTATCATCGTTTTCAAACATCACGATAGCAAATCAAAAGAAATCACCAAATCAGTACCATCGTTTTCAAACATCACCATAGCAAATCAAAAGAAATCACCAAATCTGTAGCAAAACAAAATACAGGGTTCTTACATAGAAGTAAAAGCAAAATTCGAACTTTTTCACACAGGCATAAAGTTCATCTCTGCCCGTCTATTTTTATAAACATTCTCATCCCAAAATTCGCTATGCACAATTCGAACTTTTTCACACATCTGTAAAACAAAGATGCAAAACTATTTTACTGACAATAATTTCCAATAATTAGTAATTAAGCAATCAATGTTTAATAAAACAAATAAAATTTGAAATAGAAATCATTTTTGGAATCACATAAATGGTTTATACGATTCGAAAATAGATTTCAGGGACCAGAAATCACGTTTCTGGGACCAGAATCGATTTCTGGGGTCAGAAATCGATTTCTGTATCTTCTGATTTCTGGTCCCAGAAATCGATTCCTGGTAACAGAAATCAATTTCTGGACCCAGAAATTTATTTCTGGGATATATCATTGGCTAGAAATCTATTTCTGGGGCCAGAAATTGATTTCTGGACCCAGAAAAATATTTTCGGACCCAGAAATCTATTTCTGGGGTATATCATTGGCTAGAAATCAATTTCTTGGTACATAAATCAATATCTAGTCCCACAAATTGATTTCCGGACCCAGAAATACCAGAAATCGATTTCTGTGTCCAGAAATGTATTTCTGGGTCCAGAAATCGATTTCTGTATCTTCTCATTTCTGGCACCATAAATCGGTTTTCTGGGTCCAGAAATCGATTTCTTTGCTTTCTGGGCCAAGAAATCGAGTTCTTTTTCATTTATGGAGACAGAAATCGATTTCTGGAACCAGAAACCAGAAATCGCAGACATCAATTTCTGGTCCAAGAAATCGATTTCTGGGACCAGAATTCCAGAAATCGATTTCTGGATCTTCTGGTTTCTGGGACCATAAATCGGTTTTCTGGGTCCAGAAATCGATTTCTTATCCTAGAAAGCAAAGAAATCAATTTCTTGGTCATTTTTGGAGGCAGAAATCGATTTCTGGACCAGAAATCAGAAATCGTAGAAATCAATTTCTTGCACCAGAAATCGATTTCTGTGAACAGAAATTCACAGAAATCGATTTCTGTGAACAGAAATTCACAGAAATCGATTTCTGGGACCATAAATCCCAGAAATCGATTTTTGCGATTCTGAATGATTTCTGGACCAGAAATCATTCAATGTTCAAGAAATTATTCATGCCCACAGAAATCTTTTTTTTTTAACCAATATTCATGTTATTAATTTGAATACTATATATGTGAGCCATTTGTAATAGTGAATGTAGGAAGAAAACACGGATGATATGATGAAGGATGGCCTTTTTTTCATTTAGATACACAATTTCTTATTTCTTTTAAAAAAATAGATGATAAGGTTAAATTTGTCATTTTAAGTGCCAAAATGGCTAAAAAAGATGTTTTTACCAAACTATAGCTAAAATTTGTGTTTCACAAATGAAAATGGCCAAAAAAAAAATTCACTGAAAATTATTTCCTCTCCCTTTCTTTGAACTTTTCAAGCTCAATAAAATCTTCCTTCCGCGTGGTCCCCACCACTTTGTATTCAATTGAGTGAGTGATGGACTGAGAACGTTACCAAGAAGTACATACAGTTTCTAGTCTGTGATTGACTGTTGTTCTTCGTGTCCTGTAGAGCGAGCACAGACCCGAGCGGGCCGAGAAAATGGGCCACCGAAGCTCAAAGCAGGAAAACCCCGATGAGTCAACGGACGGTTCCCCCTCCAGGATTCATAAGCTCCGGCAGCGGCTCCACCGTTACCGTCCCCACTTCCGCCGCCACAGCCGCGGCGTGAGCGCCGATCCCCGCCTGAGCAAGCTGCTCAAGGAGGAAGACTTCGCCGGCATCGCTCTCCTCCGCCTTATCGGCGTATACCACCTCCCACATATATTTGGTTGTCTTTCTTACTGGGAGTACTAATGATACGCATGATTTTTTTTTTAAGGCGGACATGAAATTCAAGGACAAATGGCTTGCGTGCGTTTCTCTTGGGGAACAGACGTTCCGCACCACCATCTCCGATCAGTTGAGTCCTGTTTGTTTGTTATGTCTTTGATATTTTCTCTCTTTTTGACCCTTTCCGCGGTTGATTAATCAATTCCGATGGATTACAGGATATGAAATAGTCATAGCTTTTGTTTTCCCGTTGTAATTACCATCGATGATTTGGCTGTTCGTTCTGCTGCTTTTGTGCAGTCAGAGATTTTAACCAATATCCTCATACATGATGTTACTAATCATCTCTGTTTATGTTACTAATCATGAGTTGTGAAATGGGGACTAAAGCTGCGGTCATCAATTCACTATATAATTTGGAATAAAAGTTGGTGCGGAAAAACGATATGGATGTCAATAATATGTTTCCTTTTTCAGTATATTCTACTGTGGTGGTATGATGCACTCGCCTGGTCATAAGATGACTGAAGCTGACTTGTAATTACTTAACACAAGCAAAAACTTAAGTAGTTAACTCTCTATTTTTGTCCAGAGTGCTTTGTTTCAAAACTTAAACGAAAAATGAAACACATGTTTAAGAAAGTCTCTCTTTGAAAAGAAACCATAACAGGTTCAGTCAAGCTTATTTTTCAAAGCTCTAGGAAGTGCTTGGCGTGTTTGTAGCGATGATTTTAAATAAACTCTACTGAACTGGATGATCTCTCATTATCCACTGGCACTGACTGTGCTCTTATTTTTTGTACAGCACTGACCAACCTGTCTGGAATTCTGTGAGTATCGCTGAACACTATTCCCATTTGAGATATAAATCTTCATTCTAAGTGCATAGCTCATCTTTTCCTTTCAACTATGGTCTAGGTAATGCGTTATTGTAGTTGATCAAGAACTGGATACTTCTTTTTTCATTATATGGGCAACATTCTTTGGCAACTAAGTGTATAACATCTGTTGCCAAATACGTGTGTGGCCAGAAGAATCATGCCTAACTATCAGTTTTTCCCTATTGATAGGAATACTCCTCAGTCTTCTCGAATAGTTAAAGTACACTGCAGATCCAGTCAGGAGACCATTTTCATATCTTTGTAAAATGAACATACATGGACCTTTTTCTTTTCTTTTTCCCTTACTTTTGCAAATAATGGGCTTATCATTGTGGAATTAATGTTGTACCATGCTATTGGTTGCACCATTAGGTTTGTTGTAGATTGTTTTTGTTATGACAATTTTTTTAAGGTGAATGTGGGTTCTTGTCTGCAGGAGAAAAAGCTTCTTTTGGACAGAAATGGGGCTCATGTTGCGAGAATATCTGTATTTGAGGTCCTTATTGATTTTATAAGCCTGTAAATGGGTCATTCATCAATTTTGTTACAATCAGGACAAAAGTTTTCATGAAGAAACCTTATTCTACTATCTCTAAGTGGTGTTTTTTTTATTTAGTTGAAAGATTTTGATGATCTATTCCAAGTATATTAATTTCATCTGTGTATTAGTATTACACATATCAATTGCATAATAACTAACTTGTAGTTTAATGCAGACAAATAAAATCTCCAAGAACAATCTGATTGGCTATTGTGAGATTGATCTTTATGATTTTTTTACACAGGTGAGATACTTCTCTCTTTGATTTTTCTTGTTCAGTATTTTACATAGTGAACTTTTGATGTAATGGAGATTGGAGAAATGCATTTCCTTATTATGTGTTGGTGCACTTGCTTGGATTAGGAAGTGAGTTGAAATGATATTGTAAAGTTAATTAGGAGGAACTATCTTATGCCTTGCTATTTTTCTGTTTTGACTGTTTGGTTCTATGAATTCATATTTGTTTTACCATTTTTATTGTGATTTAAGTTAAATTTATTTCAAAATTCATTTTGACACCTATTAACATTTCATGTCTCTTGTTGCATTTTTTACTCCTAAATTCAGTTATCCGAGTCCTCCATGCACACATACAATATACGAAGTACTTCTATATTTTCAGAATATTATAGTAATGAACATATAACTGACTAATTTGTACAAAATTCATTTCTTATGAAATCTAATAATGTATTTTCTTAATTGACGTTTTATGTGGGCATTCACATTTATCATAATCATGTTCGTAGAAAGGGCCTGGTTGTTAAATAGAAGGCCCTAGACTTGATTGCCTTTTCATCATTTGATGGATTATTTTAATTCCTTTTCCTGTATTCGTTGTCCGCATGGTTTGTATTGGAAATATTAGTTGGCTTGTTTATTTTTGGTGCTTTAAGTGCATAATTATTTCTTTGGGTGCTATGTGTTCTCCTTAGAGGGCCTGACCAAGTTAGCTGGTTTGTTGTTGGAGGTGGGTGCCGGGTGGGGAGAACTGAGAAAAGTGAGATACATTTTTTTTTTTTTAATGGAGGAGATGGGATGAAGGGCAGAGCAAAAACTCTTGGTCATTTCTAAATGATTTTGGTGTTCTGCATTTGCATTTTGATTCTCTCATCCAATGTTCTAAGAAAAAAAATGCAGACATTTAATAAAGTCCACACTCATGGAAATTTTATATGAGAAGAGCAAGTTTAGCCACATAACCCATCGCATTAAGGTTTCTTGCATATAGTTGTGCTGTTCTCGAACCCCCCGTATCAGCTTAGTCAATCCACTGAAGAAAGTAAAACTATTAGAAGTTATGATTATCCCATGCCAATTGATACTGAGCTGTTATTGTGTATAAGTTTGGGCCTCTCTCTTTGAGATAGCTTTTGGGGATGAGTTCTACCCAGGCCCATTTATCATGGTAGCAGAGCACCTAAGTTTTGTTTGTTTGGAGGCAATGCTATTTTGGACCCGACCCATTTGGTTTGGCACGCTGCACGTGAGTGTGGTGGGTGGGGGTGTTAGAAGTTATGTAGCTACTGAGTTCTTATTATGTATAGGTGTGGGCTGGGCACCCTCCACCTTTGAGATAGCTTCTGGGGATGAGTTCTATCTAAGTCCATTTATTGGGGATAAGTTCTACCTAAATCTATTTATCATGATATTAGAGCACCTATGTTTTGTTTGCTAGGCGGCGATGTTAGGTTTGAACCCGTCCCATTGTGTTAGAAGTTATGTTTGTCCCACTCATCGATTAGTTATTGGGTTGTTATCGTGTATGAGTGTGGGTTGGGACCTTCTCCGTTTGAGCTAGCTTTTGGGGATGAGTTCTACCTAGGCCCATTACCTGTGACAATCAAAAATTTATATTAATTTCTTGTTGCAGGATTCAAATTCTAACATAAATATGCTGTTTTCAATTCTGTAGGATTCGGATTCTGATGTAGAATTATATGACCTAGTAGATCCAACATCTGCTGGTGGAAAAGTTGGCCGCATAAGTTTGTCATGTTCCATTGAGGTGAAAATATTTTTTTTGCCTTTATTCAGCTGGATTGGTAACCATCTTTGTGGCATGAAGTCCATTATAATACTTGCAGGACCCACTGGAAACAGAAAAGAGTTTTGCTCGGCGTATTTTGTCTATAGTGGTACGGAATTACTCTCTGCATGTAGCATTAGTTTATAGTGGATTTTGACTGCCCACCCAACCTATCAAGACCAAGGAGCATCATTGCGGTTGATGATAAGTGCAGTGTGTGTCTAGATGCAAGGATATCAACGAACATTATGCTTCTTGTTCGATCTGAATGAATTCTATCT